GGCGACGTCGGGAAACAGTTTTCCAGGTGTGTGGAAATGTCCTGGAGGCGTGGAGGTTCAGAAGCGACAGGACTTGCTCCGGTGTCATGATGCCAGACTGCAACCCTCGGGGAAATGCCAGAAGGTCAACACTAGCGAGCGAACGGTCAGCATGGGATTTCAAGAGTGACACGGTGCAATCCACGGTTTGTTTAAACCAGACGCTGTAGTCATCGGCTTCTGATGAGTAGGCCGTCGTCTGACTGATAGTTTGCTCAGGTTCACCAGATGATGTTTCGTCCTGTTGTGCTTGCCAGTTAAGCACCCGTAACCTGGTTTTGATGCTGATAGCCGATCGGCCAGGAAAATACTGCTCCAATCTCGTGAACAGCTCGGTTTGCGTGCCGCAAGATGGATATAGATTGTTAGCCAGGCGTAAGAGCGATTGTGACTCTTGCTGGGACCAGCGGGTACTGGAATACTTCACTCGGCCAAGCTTATCTGCATTATGCTGGGTGGGGTGTGCGTGCCGGCGGTGTTGACTCAGGCCAATCTTCGTCGGAAAAAGGCGGGAACAATCAGCGCAGGCCAATTGGGCGACTGTGTTCGTACCAACACTTTCATTGTCGTGAACTCGATGATGGGCTACAAAGCCAGCTTTCGATTTGCAGCACTTGCCACATTCCTCACACGTGAACCCAACGAGTCTCTCCTGTGTACTGGTTGGAACTGGTGCGGAGGCGCCAGATGATTCGTAGTATACATTGTCGAAAGTAACCAGCACATTGAAACCAAACGGGGTGGTTGGCCCTGTCTGGAGTTGCTGAACTCTTAGCTCACCCAGACAGACGTCCACGAGGAGGTGGTTCCGCTCGCCGACTACTACTACTACTACTACTACTACTACTACTACTACTACTACTACTACTACTACTACTACTACTACTACTACTACTACTACTACTACTACTACTACTACTACTACTACTACTACTACTACTACTACTACTACTACTACTACTACTACTACTACTACTACTACTACTACTACTACTACTACTACTACTACTACTACTACTACTACTACTACTACTACTACTACTACTACTACTACTACTACTACTACTACTACTACTACTACTACTACTACTACTACTACTACTACTACTACTACTACTACTACTACTACTACTACTACTACTACTACTACTACTACTACTACTACTACTACTACTACTACTACTACTACTACTACTACTACTACTACTACTACTACTACTACTACTACTACTACTACTACTACTACTACTACTACTACTACTACTACTACTACTACTACTACTACTACTACTACTACTACTACTACTACTAATAATAATAATAATAATAATAATCGTTCAGCTGTAACATCCCCTCGGTGCCTAGCTGCCATACCACCCGAAGGAAGCACGATTGCTGGGATACTTCCAGGTTGCACAAGTCTAGACTGATAAAGTCAAGAGGCAGAGTTCGGATTCGATCGTACTCTTATTTGGAAATGTATCTTCAGTTAGTCCTCTCACGCCGTGGTTTGTTGCTGTTCTGATTGACATTGAGTAGTCGTGTTGATCTGTTGGTTTCTACAGCCTGGTTATACGGCTACGCTATATGTGAACCGGAATAGGTCGACAAACAGTGCCATCGATCCTACCACCTTGGGTATCTGGGAGCCTTCATGATACAGGACAGTCTAAATAGGGCCCTCAGCTATAGTCAGAAATTCGCTGGAAAGACAAGATAGACAGTCACCAGCTGGGTGTTGCCTCTGTTTTTTTCAGACGTTAACTGAACGTCTTAACCTTTTTTCGTGAGCTCAGTGCAGTAGTCTATTTCACTACCAGTAGGTCATCCTACATTTTCCTGTGCCTACCAGTAGCACTTCGTTTTCTAGTTCGTCCACCCTAACTTGTCTTAATCAACCTGTTGTATACTAGGATGACCGCTCAACTTCATGTGTGTCACAATTCAGCACTGTTGAAAATATGATGCCTTGTTCTGCCTCCGCATCATCATTAATAGCATTTACTGGGATGAACCCGGTTTTTTGGCTTGAATTTGTTCCCACACGTCATCGGTTGTTTTCTACGCTTGACTTTTTCTTAACAATTGTGTGCTTTCAGTTTGTCAGTTCTGTTGCTTTCCTTTCGTTATTAGGCCGAACGTCCGCACCAACTGTTTGCCGATGCGCCTCCACCACCGCCACCGCCTCCACCTCCACCCCAGACTTTCCTACCATCCAGTATAACGCATTCGATTGCTCCTGTTGTGACAATGCCGTTGCCATCACTTACGATGACATCCTTGGTCCTACCACCTCCCCCGCCGCCGCCTCTCCAGGCTACTCTTGTTGGGTTTACTCCGTCCATTGCTTCTGGAGCGATGCCTCCACCTCCCCCTCCCCCTCCACCCACGATTTCGGTACCCATGGCGTCCGTAGCTTCAGTTGGAACGACTCCTGCGCCACCCGCTTCTATCCCGGCACCCCCACCTCCCCCTCCTCCGCCACTGTTCCAAGGATTTCCATCTGGCCTAGGAGTTTTGCCTGGACAGCCGGCAGTCTCCTTACCTACCGGGGCTCCATTACCGCCTCCTCCTCCTCCGTTTTCATCTGGTGTGCTTCCTCCGCCACCCGTTTGATACGAACTTGTATACCACCTGTTGTTTGTCGGAAACTGTCAATAATCCATCATACATGCCTCTCTGTTTCACCGATGTTTCTCATTCGGTACGAAATTGTTTACGGATTGCTGTGTTGGAAATTGCCTATTATGCATTGAACATGCACCATGCGTTTGAGTGATGTCTTTTCTAGTGTTTTCTACGATCATTATCCCAGGCTTTATTGCATTCGGCGGGCTTATTGTAGTCGGTAATGAGAAATAGTGACGTGTCATTCTCATGTTTCGTAATCAGTGTCAGACCATCCTATGGCTTAACTGATGTTTTTTTCACCCATCTAATTGGTTGGCGCTCCTTTCCTTTCCTCTGTTCGGGATCCGCAACTACATTTACGGATGAGCCGATCAGCCACAGTTAGTATCAAAGCATTAGATGGATTTTCCACTTGCCAAGTTTAGTGAATTCCCTTTTCGGGGTGCTCTGCACAAAAGAGCACAATCTTGGTCCCACAGGCATCCCGTCTAAAGCGTAATCACTATAATGTGATCCTCCTCAGCTGTAAAAGTGTATAAGTTGTAATTTACTAGTGTCACAACTGTACCTTATGGTCCGAGATTATTGGTTTGTCGTACGGGATGACTAGAGGTCACTGTGTCCATCTTGGTTTGCCCAAATCAAGTTGATTTCTGGGGTCCACTCTCAGTGAAGGTGGATTTTGGCGTTCATCTTTTCAAATCTGCTCTTTCCTACAGATCGCCAAAGGTGTATTGCATGGAGGAGTGTACAGTTTATTACCAGCTTGCTTCTACCGGTAGATATCTTTAAAAAGTTCTACTCTTGGTGCCGCTCGAAATAAATCACTTCAATGTCCATATGCCCTACGAGCAGCAGAGCTGGACTCATTTGGGGTTGTGTGGTCATGAGTGTGGGGATCACTTTGGTCGGTTGTACCTGCAAAGTAATGGTAAGCATGGCATGACCCCTCATAAGAATGTGACGAAACGGGTGTGTGGCTTGATACAATGAACCCTCCTATGGGCTGGCCCATAGAAAGAACAACCCATTGTAAAGATCACTTGTTTCATCCATAGGAATCATCTGGTTAATGATGAGTCTACTCCGTGATAAGATTCACCACTGTTCGAACTGCCTATGAGTTTACAAGATCACGCTTGTTGGTCTCCTACCGCCAACTGTATCGTCCAGTCAGGCAAGAGTTTTTCAAATATTTTTCCACTCTGAAAGGATTGTTGGATTATTGTCACAGTTGCAGGGCCTGCTGGCTACCCAGGTCCATAACGACCCGTGTTTCTACGTTTTCACACGTCCTCCGTGAACGGGTATCTACAACACCCAGCGTAGTGACCCGTCCTTGCATGTTTACGCGCTTCCTAGTCCCAACCGCACCACATGTTTCCACCATCACTGGCGGCAAAAACCCAATCCTGCGTTCACTTTGCCTCCGGTGTGAATCGTTCACACGGTCTGACAGGAGTCATGATGTATTTGACTGATCTCATTCTTGAATAGTCTCGTGTGTAACTATTGAATGTCGATCATAAATACCCTGTGTGATGGATGTAGCCTAAGCTCCAGTCGAAGTACGATGTTGGATGTCAACAATGGGAAACGAAGTTAGTTAACTGTCGTTAAGCTGCTTTACCAAAACGGCTAGCGACGATGGTTTGGCTGGCTGAGAATCACCGGTCTGCGCCTTAATATTAGAGCGCATCAAGCAAACATGTCCGAGGATTGGTTCCTGTGGCAGTGAGTCTTGTTCAAATTTCAGAGGAACACGACTGAAAACCATGGTTTCTCTTTCGGATCTGTTGGTCTTTGTGGTCTAATTAGTAAACACCTCGTGAAACAACTCAGGTCATTCCGTTTCTAGCTAACCACCGTGCAACACCGAAAGGTCTTCAGTTTGCGAGCAGGGCTGATAAAAATTATCAGTGAGGAAACCAGTAATTGTTAGTGAAGCAAGTGTTCACCCCGTGGTCATTTGGTTACCTGCGTTTGAGCTGGCAACTGGATTATCTGTGAAGTGGCCCTCAATCTGACCGCATTGTGTCCGTTTCAGTATATCGCCAGTGGTTGTTCTCCTCTAAAGGTTTTGGTGACAAACACGAAATACTCCTGGCATGTGCAGGACACCCATAGGTAGCGAATGGAAAAACGCTTTCGTTTTGTTGGTCTTGCAAGTTCAATCCAGAATATCTCTAATAAGGATACGATTATTGTTCTTTTGGAGACATTGGGGCATTTTTCTGGGTTATTCCAAGAATCCAGTCAGATTACCTGGGACGATATGGTACACGTTCTTAGCCTTCGAGTGACAGTTTATTCACTTAACCCATGACCGTAGGAACTAGCTACGTGGATAAAAGTAACTAGATACGCCGGAAATGAGATCCTCGTACCCTCCATAACGTTATTGCACGGGCGTTTTCTCTGGTTGGTCACGAAACGTCTGCAACCCTAATGTCAGCCTGGACCGACAGGCAATCACTGTTTGTCATAAAATAAGGAAGTCCGTTTTGCTTAGGGTGGTACGCCACGATCAACGGGCAATCATTGCCACTGGACTATTGAGCGCATGGTCTTGGCTCTATAAAATCCTTTTAGGATTGATGCACATTCCTATAAAGGCCCAGACGAGGGTAACAGGAAGTGGGCTGTTTCTCCACTTAAATGGCCGTTTAGTTCCGCGTAAATTTTCGCTGATTAGCCGCACCCAGTTTGAAAGGGGTTCTGCAGTGGGGACAACATCTTGACCGCATATTTATCGTGCAATAAATAAGAATTTCTACTCAGTAGACAACAAAAGAATTGAAGATTGGCGAGGATCAGTAGCAAGAGGGTGAAGCACTGGATGAATCGGACTGATGGTCAGTAAATCAGTAGCCTGTATCTTTAAATTCCGGGGCTATCATTCCTCTTGAACCCGTGAATTTCCATCTAGAAATGAAGAAGCGCTGTCTATCCAGTTGGATGAATAAGATCAGTTCGGATGTCAAAATTATGGGATGCTTTCAGTAGATGTGTCTGGATTTCGAAAAGTTCAAGCGCGTGAGTGTCCTCGACTTTATTAGTGCCCATCAGGGGGTTTTAGAGCGGAAGTTGTTTTCTTGGGTTCGACGGAGAATATACGATTGACAAGACAATTCGCAAGTCAATGAATTAAGTGGACTGGTCCGTCGAAAGACTTTCAGGTTGATGAAAACTTCTGACACTGAAGTACCTTATAAGCTCTTTCTTGGACTCATCAGAAATGGGTAGCTTCCGAGTTTCCACCCATCCCATTTCCCAAACGAGTACCAAATTGTACGTAAGCGGAGTTAATTTGGCATTAACAGAAGACTCGTCTGAATATCAGCTAATGCACCAAGGCCGTTTCCTCCCAGTTGGTCCAAAAATGAAGGAATCAGCTTGTGTTCAGTTAAGTCTCCCATTGCAAGTCAGTGTAAATCGCCAAGAGCTTTCTGCCTATATTCTAATGCCCCCGCGCTCTCCAACTAATGTTTATAGGTAACTAGGTGGTCCTATACTGAATTGGGGCCTTGGAATAGCTAAGTGTTTAGGGTGCGGTACTACTGACCGAAAGGACCGTTGTTCAAACCCAACCCTAAGTTTTCTCTCTGTTGTTCAGGTCTGGGCAATATGATGGTAACTCAGCCCTCATGTTTCCTCAGAGTAAACCGAATTGGTGCCACAGTCAACTGCTAATTGGGACGCACCGTATGCTGGCGTCGCTTTTGGGTTAGATTATTTGACATACGTTCCGTTAAAATAGACAGCCCTCAGTGAATCTCCTCAGTACTGCTCAGAATCCGACGAAGCCCACCAGCTTGGGTCCTTCAAAGTCGCGCCGAATTCTCAGATTGGCCTAGCGTTATTCGATGTTTTCTCACTATACAAACAGTAGTCTTCAGGAGGCCCAATAATGTGACCTACGAACGGATAATCATGCTTGATTCGATGGCTGACCACCGGTTACGTCATACATTCTATTTCAGAACGTCTATCACTGTTTTTGTTGCACCTTCAAGGGCTGTCTCATCTCTATACATAGCCATTTTACAGCATCGAAATAATCACTCATGGTGCCTTGACCCAAAGTAATTATATGTATACTTGCCGGATCAGTATGTCCCATGAGTTTATGTTCGGTTTGAGGTCAGGGATACAGACTGGCCGATGAGAGGAGCGAAATTTTGGTGGATTGAGTAGTATGGACCAGTGTGTTATGCTTTGTGTCCTGTCTCTCGTAGGACTCAAATATCTGAGGGTCCGTTTTGGAACTCTGGATATTTTTTACAGGTGTTATCTCCTTGGTGAGTTTTAAGGAACGACATTTTCCCCTTGGAGAAGTTTTTCAACTTCAAAGGAAGGTTATTACTTTAATGGACGCCGGGGTGTGGTTGCAATCCACAGATCCGAGATACAAAGGCAGCGTGTGCACCTTACGGGAAATTTATGCTACTACCTATCTTAGCATCATGGAACTCACAGTACAAAGTGCAAACACGGAATATCACCGTGAACGTCTTGTGGAATTACTTTGTCGGGTGGGGGATAAGAAAGTAAGTGTAATCCTTCAGCTGATTCAGCATATAATGCACATTTTGAAGATATGTGCAGTTCATGGTTAAATTCCGGATTGTGAGTGTAAGGGGCTCATTCGATTCTCAAGAAAGCGCTACCACTATCGTGAGCACTTCCGGTCTAGCCGGAGCGTTTAACATTATTCTAGCACAACTGTCTTCGCCTTTTTTGGGTTTCTGGTTGATTCGATGGGATTTTCAAGGAAAAAGTCGTCCTTTTTAGCCGATGGCTAGTCACCGCAGCAATGGTGACCATATTGTTTCGCTCGGGAAATTTTTTGGTTTCTCTTCAGTTGTGGGGAGCTTATGGAGGCTACAGTTTTACCTGAAGAACTCCTGAAGTTGTCTGAAAACGGTCATAAGTTTTTGACAAGTTGTGTGAAATTATAACTTTGCGCAAATTGCATTCACAACATTCTGCTTCCAGGCTAACGAACTTACTTCCTGTAACGTATTGCAAATGTAATTTAATGTCAAAACTAAGGGATCTTGACAAACAGTCCCAAAAAACTATTCAAATTCTCGGGGCTATTGCAATTCGTCGATAACAGAAGACGCAACAGAGAATGCCTGCCGAGCGATGCACAGGTAGTCCCATTCGCCACATGAGGGATTAGGGAACCATCTGTTGCATAACTCGCGGTTGTTCCGGTCTCACCCCTGGTCGTCATTGCCCTGGGCACCGAAACCGGTTAGAGATATTTGTTACGATGTCCACGAGAACTAAATTTATTAGGTGA